GCTATTTGGAATATTAAACTAGAACAGGTTCTAAGAAGTCATAATACGGATTTATGTGGATTTTATATAGCTAATTGCAAAAATTTAAGTCGATGTTGGTTACAATAAAGGCTGCATTATTGAATGTTTGGCCACTTGGGGGAAGCAGAACTAGCTGTGATCAGGATTCTTTCAGGTTAATTAGAGTCTGCCAATATAATGTAGTTTGAATGAACATTGTCATATTTTTTATGTTGATCCATAGGTCCCCAAAGTCCCAAGCCTGCTGGAGGAAGTGAGTACACAAAACCTGAACTGAACTTAACATGCTGTACAAACAGATACGGAAGCGTATTGCATTCACTTGAAAAAATTAAAAAAACTCAGTTTTTTCTGAGTAATTCATTTTTGGGTATGTTTTTTTCCAATAATTTTTTCAGTTTTTCTGACTATTATAGTCCTCAGGTGCCTGTGTAGAGTCGGCAAACTACTGATAATACCATCTACATGACTTAAAGACAGGACTATCTCCCAGTGTCTTAAACCCAGATCAAAGTATAACTTGATTGAACTAAACAAGCCGGTCACGTTTGTTTCCTTTAAATCGAGCTCTCAATAAAGGAATGAATGCATCTATTGTTTCAAATGCTCTCTAAACTCAGAAAAAAATTACTCCGAAAAACCAACCATAAAAATAAATTACTCCGAAAAACAACCAAAAAAAAAATTACCCAGAAAAATTCAATTCAATTCAATTCAATTCAATTTTATTTGTATAGCGCCAATTCATAACAGAAGTTATCTCAGGACACTTTTCAAATAGAACAGGTCTAGACAGAACTCTTTAACAGAAATAATTACTCAGAAAAACACAAATAATTACTCAGAAAAACAAACCAAAAATCAAATTACATTAAAAAAAATCTACATAAAGTGTATAAGCCTCCAGAACAGCAATGATTCTTCCAAGAGTGTGGAACTCCTTATGCAGTGCTTTTTAATGATGGTGGTGGATAGACAAAAACAATCTCTTATACTAAGCACTCTGTGGGGTTTAAGATTAGGGGCGGGTTGCACAAAACACCAAGTTTTCACTAGCTTTAAGTATGACACTAGCTAGGCTTTCTTAAGGACGTTGCACATAATCCCTTAAAAGGTTTTCTCAGGAAAGTAAAAGTATGAAGGCATTTACTGCATTGAAAGAGATTCAAGGTGTAAAATTCCACCTCATGGTGAACATTGGTTGCTTGCACTCTGGCCTAGTGAATTGGTCCACCCAAAAGGTAAAAAAAAAACCCCAACAAAAATAGAGAGATCACTAATTAAAGGAGTGAATCCAACAAAACTGGTAATAATTGTAACCTATAACTTACTAAATGTTAAGATTAGACAATGCTAACAATTGGTTGACAGTGAAAGAAATCTCTGTACACAAGTTGTCAAGCAGACTCAATGATACAACTAGCCTTCTGCTTAAAACTGTAACCTACTGTCCTATAAAAGTTATAATTTAAGATTTATTGCATACAATAGAGCCGAGAAAGATAGGAAGATGCCTTGGGTTGGAGTCTTAAAGATTGTTGATTGTTTAGTCTCATTCTCAGTGTCCCAAAGCATCTGTATTTGATGCCCTGGGAATGAGACTTAACAATCAACAATCCTCCTCGGCTCTGATTGGTTGTTTTTTTTTTTTTTTTTAGACCTGATGGATTATTACAAATGTCGTTAGGGACACTAGAACGCCAGAGGAACCTGATTTTTTCACAGATTAACTGTCTCATGTACTACTGTCAGGATATAATGAAAGTTTCAGCAAATATGACAAAAAAGCTATTTTTATAAAAATGACCTACTGCAGCTTTAAGTTTTTTGTTACTTTGGTTGCTAAGGGCTTTTGTGCAATGGTTGGGATATAACATATAACACCTTAAAGTGACACTTTAATTAATGTGTCACCTGTCTGTAGGTATTATTGAGGTATACACTGATTAGCCATAACATTATGACCACTGACAGGAGAAGTGAATAACACTGATTATCTGGTTATCGTGGCACCTGTCAGTGGCTGGGATATATCAGGCAAGTTAATGTGAAAAAATGGGCAGTGTAAGGATTTTAGTTACTTTGACAAGGGCCAAATTGTGATGGCTAGACGACTGGGTAAGGGCATCTCCAAAACTGCAGCTCTTGTGGGGTGACCACCAGGGTGCCCAGGCGGTCATAATGTTATGGCTGACTGGTATATTTAATAAAATAACAATTACATTTTTTTAATTTAACTTTTGCCAAGAAGACATTTATTTGAAGATGTGCCTATGTTCATTTTAAATGAATTTGTGTGTATCTTTGGCATTCTTCACTCCCAGATGGCTTTGGGTTCAATCTGGAGGATGCTCTCCGTCCAGGTAAAGATATTGGTTAAAGATTGAATAAAGATTTATTTCATGTTAAATGTGATATTATATATAATACATTAGGTACCTCTATATTGTTATGCGATATCTGTAAATATGTGGGTGAAGGAACAAGTTATTATATTTTGATGTGGACAGCACCACCATGTGGCCAGCTACAGAAGCACTCACTCCAATCATATCACATTGTGTGATCCTGCATATCCTGACATGCATATCCTCACAACTACAAAAAAAAAACCCTGAGAAAACCATGGAACAAGTGTAAAATAGGTCTGGAATAGCACTCATAATGGTCTTAAAAGGTCTTAATTTTAACCTGACCTGCAGAAACCCAGGTTTGTCCTCTGTTAGTGTAATGTTATGTCCAATGTTCTTGTTCCCACAGCTACAAAACCCACTGATAGCCCCACAGGAGGTGGTGAGTCTACAAACCTCACTTCCTCTTGTATTACATTCATTTACTTCAATGTTATGAAGTTTCAAAGATGTCTCTATTTCTAATTTAAAATGGAACCACTAATCTCCTTCTCCTATGACCACACTGAGTGACAGTTTTCTATACCTTTCCTCAGAATGTCAGGGAAATGTGGTCCAAAAGCTGAGCACAGTCATTGAGAATCAGAACCAGCAGCTCCGCCTGCTGCTGCAGCTGTTGTCTCGCTCAACATCTCGCTTTTAAATCAAAAGCCCAGGCGCCAGGAAGACATTTGTGAGTAGAAATGAAATGCTTTACCACATTTTTTTGATGAAATTAAAACATTAGCAGCAGCTCTTTTCTCATGTCTTGTGTTTTTAGACATGAAGAGGACGCGTCGGATGATATGCCTGAATATGCCTGAACTTCCTCATCTTTTTTCCTGATCAACAAACATCTATAAAAAATACTGATGTCCTTTATATATAGTCAGCATTCTTTAATCCTAGCTTTAGCTTTATTCATCTACTGTATTTTAAACGCACAAGTTATGATACCGAAGGTTTGTCTCCAAGCAGAATGAAAGAGACATTGAAGGCAGGGTGATGATGACTGCTGATAACTGTTCAAATCTGCTTTATTACACTATTGGTGAATCAATAAAGATGATCTTGAATGGTGAACGTTTGTGTACATTCATTTGTGTAACATTATTGATCACTGCAGTGCTGTAAGTCAATATGTCATTTTTGAATCTTAAAGATCCCCTCAAGAATCTACTCCTTCTACCTCATTAAAACTACCAAAATCTATGAATACGAAAATGTTGTCCATTTCTAAAGTTTTGCTGGACACAAGATGTCTTCTACTTCACTGTGAAGTCCATTCTCAGTGTATGTGCACTGGTGGCTTCGAGTTTCTACATCACACATAAGTTGCAAACTCCAAACTATGTGTGATGTCATAAATCATGCTTGTAGGCCCCGCCCCTTAAAATCAAACTCTCCACTTTCAAAATGCCACCTTGGATGCCTCTATAAAAACTTATCAAATGCCCACTGGGGTTTTAATCCTAACCATGACTAAGCTGTTTTACGATAAACGCATCACAACTTTCTGTGTGCTGGTGCCCTTTTCATTTTTTTCACCCCTGCCCCTCAAACAGCTGGAGCCTGCCCCTCGTAACCCATGACAATGACTTTAGAAGATGGCACAGTATAAATCAACAGAAGTCCAAACTAGAAGCATTAAGATGAAACACTAGGTGGCACACAAGCTTCAGCACAGTCCGTTGGCTTAATGCAGGGCCAGCTGGGCAAACTAACCCACACCCATGAGCCGACAGCTCCTCCTCCTTTCATGTGAACAAAGGTTTAGTCTATAGGTTGAGGCCTTTAGTGATTTTAACCCTTATGTTGGTTCGTGCATACATTTCAGTGTGGTTTCAATATTGCATGAAAACGAATAAAAGTCTGAAAAGTTGCCATTTCTATTTTAATAAAAAAGTAATTCGATTTGTTTGATGCTATTAAGGCCTGCTCCAGTGCCATAGCCACAGAGCCCCACCCACCATTTCCTGCCTTTATAAATTATTTAAAAATTCACAAACACACGGGATGAGCTTTTCATTTATTTTTTTACATAATGTGGAGGCCAATAGGAGTGTGGACATTAGGATTAGACAACTGCACTGTCATTATTCCATCTATCTATGTCAATATTGGCTCTTGTTCATGTTCATTTACGCTAATACAGCCTACGTGACACTCACATTTCATTCTAGTTTTCCACTAAACTACATTTCATCATCATCATCATCAACTAATGAAACAGAGAAACAGCAGTTGAGAAACAACTTCTGCTGTGGTACGGCAACACCACTTGTCTTATTGTCTCTCTGAGTCCTACTAGATAAAATAAATGTTCTTCATAATTGAACATTAGGATCACGCTTTGTATCCCTATACATTACATGCATAAATATTAATGAAATATATCTGTATAATACATTATATTCTGAAGAAAATAGATTTTATCATTTAAAAAAAAGAGACAGTTTTGATAAACCACTCCAAGGTGTGGTTAAGTATGTCATGCTAAAAACTCAGTCCTATTACTTTCAGTTCTGTTACGAAAAATTCCAAATCCATCGAGAAAAGTTTAATTTCACAACAAGTCACAACATGAAAATGGCACCAATACAGAGGAATGGCAGAGTCACTGAAGTAGAATCCTTCTACCATACCTAGTGGGCCTTTAACATTCTCTGCACCCTGCCTTTCCAGCATAGCCATTTTCTATCTATGTATTTTTATTTTTTATATCCATACTGGGACATAGACTTGAATATTGCCTTGGTTCGTTTTTCTTCCTGTGACGATTTTCATTTAAAAATGTTATTAAAATCAGTGAATGCATGAACCATATACCAAATGCCCAAAGTAATATGAGTACTAAAATGTGACATATATAATAACTAATATAATATGAACTAATAGGAACTCAGCTACAAGTGTTCCATTAAGAAGCACTTTATTTCAATAGAATTCAAACTTTTGTGCGCACAAGTTAAGTAACTTGTACGCACATGATACAAAAATGTTACCTTTTGGGACTTTAGGGGCTCCGTACTTTTGCATAGTGCTTTCTGCTATACTGTTTTGCTGCTGTAAAGTCTATGGACAAAAGAAAAAAACATGACAATGGGATATAAAAGTTAGTCTTTTAGTAGAGCTGCAATAAAGGACGAATGTTTGCCGGGTTGAGTGTCACATTGCAGTGGCCAATTTTTAATGCAAACTTCTCCAAAGTTTCAGTTAACTTTGACAAACACTTTAAATTGCACTATTTTCACATAGAGTTCGGCGCGGCTTGACTTGAAGGCAGCTTTTTATGGCTCTTTCAATCAAAAGTTGTATCAGATAACATGATACACTCATTTTTTATAAGCTTGTAACGCCCCGGTGAGCCTGCTGCCACACCCAGAGAGTTGTTCACTGGCAAAGTTGACTCATAACCGACTGAAACAGGACACCGGCCGAGCTCTGTCTGCAGTCCGCGGAAGAAAACAGTCTCCGCAAATACTTCGCTAGCTAGCTAAAGCTCTGCATATGAACGCGTAGCTAACGATTAACAACATTACAATTAGCCCGAAATTAAAGTCGCTGCGTAGTGACAAAAGTGAAATTCACCATGTTTTTAAGGATCGTTTTACTTCTTCTTCTCGTGACTGGAACATTAACACAGGACTTAGGTAAGCCTGTTATGGGAATTATTATCAGTAATTGTAGGTTGTGTAATGGTTACATTATGGTTATGTTACGTGTTTTCGTGGTCTTGCCTTTTAAGGTGACGCAGGAAAGACTCATTTAAGGCTTCAAAGTGTGCAAAGTTTCTCTGGCAGCTAGCCTCAGGGCTCTTACCTAACCAAGGACATTTAATGTGAGCCGCACAGAAACTGCAAAGTTGAACTTTTGTTGCTACAAATCAGTGGTTATTAGTATTCATGGTAAATCTGTCGCATTTTCCATCATGTGGTCAGTGTGCGCCTCAGCTCTTCTTCACAGCCTGAAGGAGGAAGCATGTGTTTGCTGATTTGAGGAGACTGTGGAGTTATAATGAGCTCAGTTTGATTTACTTGCATGGTGTGTCCTCGACTGAAAACCATCTCATTTAATGTTAACCCATTGTATTCAATTGAGCCTCACTGAATGAAGCAGTGAATCAGGCATTAAATGTAAAGCCTTATTCATAGGGCTGCTGAATAGATAGCAGGCTGTGGTTCATGGTGTAGGATGACTAGGGTTATATTGGTTGACCAACTCATGGGACTTTTTTTAGCATGTAAAATATCTAAATATATATAAGCTTTTAATTACAGAACTTAAACTGCCCTCATGTTGCTAAAATCCTCAAATACCTTGTGGAAAAATCCAGATTATATGTCCACAGTGTACTCTAGAGCTGCAAAAATTAAATTAAAGCTGCAGAAGGTGCTTTTTATAAAATATTTTAAAATTAATATTTTAACTATATCCTGACAGTAGTACATGAGACAGATAATCTGTGAAAAAATCAGGTTCCTCTGGCACGTTCTAGTGCTCCTAATGGCATTTGCAAGAATCCACTGGGCTGAATAAACAAAACAACCAATCAGAACCAAGAAAGATAGTTGACTATTGAGTCCCATTCATAGGGCGTGGAATACAGACGCTTTGGGAATAAGACTCAGCAAAACTCAGCGTCTTTCTATCTTTCTTGGTTGTGATTGGTTGTTTTCATTCGGGCCTGATGGATTCTTTAAAATGGCATTAGGAGCACTAGGAGGAACCAGAGGCATCTGATCTCATATTATCCGTCTCATGTGCTAGTGTCAAGACACAGTGAAAATTTAAGAAAATATGACAAAAAGTTATCCTTCTAAAAGTTACCTACTGTAGCTTTAATTTTTGTTTGTTGATCATTTTCATGCTTAATCGATTATTTGTTTGATCCATAAAATGTCAGAAATTGCTGAAAAATGTTGATTGCTGTTTCCTAAAGTGAAAAGATATTCAGATATTAAGTTTACTGTCATAAAGGACTAAGGAAACTAGAAAATATTCAGACTTGAGAAGCAAAAATCTGAAACTTAAAAAATGACTCAAATGATTAATCGATTATCAAAATAGTTGGCAATTAACGTATTAGTTGACAGCTAACGAGTCAATCGCTAATTGTTGCAGAAATAATGTGTGTGTGTGTGTGTGTGTGTGTGTATAATATCTTCTGGTTTCTTTAGTCCTCTATGACAGTAAACTGAATATCTTTGGGATGTTTTGGATTTTCTGACATTTCCTGGACCAAACAAGTAGTTGATGAATTGAGAAAATGATCGACAGATTAATTAATGATGAAAGTAACCATTAGTTGCAGCTCTAGTGTCCTCACTGTTGACTAGAGTTCTTTTTGGTCAGTTGTTAGAATAAAAGACCAGATTTCTTGTTTAATTCAGATTTCTCTCTTATTTGGAGTGAACTGGAATATTTGCCATTAGTGGAAACAACTTATCATGTGTAGTTGATGTGTGACTGGAAAAGATGAACGTGTTTTTACATTTTACAAATTAATGAAAGTTTGGGTCATGTGGAAAAGAGATTTTAATAGAGAGATCATGAGCTGAAATGAGATAGTGGAATATGATGGGGATGTAGCAAATGGGCAAAATAGCAAAGGGGCTATTAACAACTTAAATTGAATAACTCCTCTAACAGACAGTTTCAGTATGAAGGTATGAAGCCAAAGAAAGACAATATTAAACAACTGAAACCACAGCAATCAGGAAAGAAACATGAGCGGAGTGAAAATAAAAATGCAAACAGATTTACAGGAAGCCATATGACAGATACAGCCAGCTAAAAGACGTGGAAAAGTACAAATACACAAAGAGCTGTTACAGTTAGACTCTTTCTACAGTACTCTGCACCCTCCTTCCTGTATAGGAGGCTGAGGGCTGGCGGAGTAAAACCACAGGCACGCAAATGAGAAGTAGATGGCACGCTGTCTGGTTGAACTAGATTAGACTGGTGTTTTGAAGAGATTTTATAGCTTCGAATTTGATCATATTCGCTAATAGTTATTTTTAACTTTTTAGCAGAAACTGGAACAGCATCTGGAACATAGTGAGACTGTTGAAAGCCACAAAATAGAGAAGTACGTAGTCGGATTTCTTAGAGGAAAGGAAGTAATCATTTTAGATTTAAATGTCATCATCGGGTCTGTCACGCAAATTTGTACTCTGTTATTCTAATACAGCCTGAAGATGAAATAGGTCTGAATATTAGGGCCACAACATTACATTATAACCTTACATACCCAATCCACATTCATTTTCAAGTTAAGTAAGTAAAACAACACATACAACAGCGGTCTCAAAATAATGGAAAAGCTCGACCTCTCAAACATGTTACTGCTATGATAGAAAACAGATTTTTTTAATAAAGTTTTTCCCATGAGGCAGCAGCAGCAGCTATGTCACAGCAGTCTCTGAATGTTTGTGTGGAGGTGTTAGGTTCACTTAAATAAGCAGTCGCTCAGAGCTCGCTCTCCCATAAGATAACTAGTGTTGTCAAAAAAGTGCTAACTAAACACGTATCTTGGTTAAAGCCTGCTTAACCTACTGTTGTGAATCCTCGTGCCTTTACCCAAAAGTACCCGAAAGTTGATTAAAATCAATAAAAAGATCCACATTAAAAAAAATGTTACTGGCTCAGCTTCCCATCTAAAACCATATATGTATATTAGATTGTAATGTGCATGGAATAATTGAATTATGACCTTTCTTTGTTTGATATCGGCATTATATATCGGCCATTGGCTGCCCTACTCTCTAAATATCGGCCCTGTTGGTCAACCAGTCACACAAACACGACTCCAAATGAATCCTATTGTTGCTCAGTGTCACCTCGGTGTTAAAATAGCCGACTGTTTGCTAACAGTTTTTACATAATATAACAGTGTTGTGTTTACAGCTTGTTTCTGCCTACAAATAGGTTATTGTAGATTTCATGAACTAATATATGGCCATTGTTGGCATTAGTAGGGTAGGAATATTGTAACTTTTGTTTGTCCAGTATTATATAAAAGTGGTTATATGCTATAAAAAGGGTGGGTGTAAACCTCTTGTGTTGTCTTGGGTTGTGTTGTTTTGTATTGGTCTCTTTAGTTGGAAGTGATTGCTCATAGTGTTGTCTATTTATCTTGTGTTGTCATGGTTTGTAAAACGTGTTTAAAGATTCAAATTAAAAATTGTATGTCCGTTTTTCCTGCAGCCTGTTCACACGACACATTAGATATACAACAAAAAAACATTCTGAAAAGACACCCTGAAAATGAAATCAGCAGAAACAAACTTCAAAACCCCGTCCTAGTATCTCCCTTCACAATCTATATGCCCTATAAGCATTCACAGAACCTACAGAACCAACACTAAAATAGAAGCAAGAAAAACAGCTGGAAATGTTTGTTGCTCAATAATATTGGAGTCATCATAGAGCCAAATATGACACTGTTCTCCAGAGAAAACCAGCAAAATCCGTCACTGTTTAAAACTGCAGTGGTTTGCTCTTCAGTGTGTGGCTTCCTGTGTACAGCGCCCGCCACTGTGAGATAAACTCCAAAAGAATGTGCGTATAAGATTAGCCCGTCCCTCTGCTGTGGGTTTTACAACCTCCCGGGCTAAAAGCATCGGAACTTGACACGTGCTCTTCTGTGAGGGAAACAACTCGATAGTTTCAGTAGTGACTCATGCTTCAAAGCAGTGTACCAGTCAGCGCTGCCATAGCAACAGGCAAATATACTGTACAACTCCCTGCAACACCCAAACACAGAACACATGTGCTTCCCGCTACGAAGGAAAAACACAGAATAGTGTCTTGCTGCCGGTTGTAGAGCTGTGAGTGAAAGCGGAGAGAATACTGAAGTGAGGAGTCTAAACTGACCGCTGTGGTTTATTTTTAAACAAATTAAAACGTTACTACCAGTGTTGATTTTTAATGGTGTTCCTCATGTCTTCCTCATACAGGTTTTGACCTGGGAGATGCTATCGATGATATAGGTGAGTGGCTGTCAGCGATGGAGCAGAATGATGGATCAGTCATTGGTGTCTATTTGTCTGTTATAATCTATAAATGACTCACTACAGAGTGAAGGGATGACATGTTTTTGTAGTCCAACCCAGAAGTCAGCACCGCCCTGGTTCCCTTGACAAAAAGCTAATGGGGTTTTGTATTATTGCAGAAAATAAGGTCTGTGCTGAACAAGAGTTTACAATAGTTTGTAAGTTTTATTCATGAATGAACCGCTTTTACAAGTTTTGAAGCGTAATTGCAATCGTCAGAAGTAAAAAGCTAACGTTAGGCTATAAATGAACGACTTCACCGTCACCACCGCTGAACTTCCGACTCGTGATTCAATCTCGTAATTCAAATCTACAAGTTGGAAGGTTCGAGGTGGACTCGTGAGGAGATAAGTCTCTTTGTTTGGTTTGCTGACGTTTAATGTCACCGGCAATCTCTGTAGTCTTATTTAGCCACTTGTTAGCAACCAATTTTTTTTTTTTTCAATTCAAAGGTGGGGTATTTACTGACACATTTTATGTTGTATAACGAAACGTCAAAATCTCTCATGCTTGTGTTAACCCCAGACTTTATTTCAGACATCTAACCACAACCCATAGACTTTGTGGTGAGGGAACAAGAAGTGTTAACTAATTTCTGGGTTTTAGGACTCATTCCTGCGGCACTCTATAGAAACCATACAGTGTTGAATTCACTCAATAGAAGCATCACACCTTAAAGGGGATGAGTGTGAAAGTTAATTCTTGATCTGAAAAACGGTCAATGACAATACTAATACGTGTACCTTAAGTCAAACTACGTAACATGAGATTTAAGAGGAAAACTGAAGTCCGAGGGTATGCTGGGTAGAAATGCTGTCAGATATTAATTCAATTCTCTTTTTTTCTTAGCTCCAACACCTGCAAAGCCCAAAGAGCAACCGAAGGCCCCAGATAATGATGGTTTGTATCCTTTCCTCTGTCACAGAACGCAATCTATCATTAATAAATAACATTTCATTTCTGAGTTGTTTGGTGTTGGTGGGATAAATGTATTACCAACATCTCAGTGTAGTTGTGGTACCAGGGTCATTGTTTTCACCAGTGGCTCATTACATGGTCCAACTAAACTTGAAATTTATGTCAGACGTACAAACCACCAGTCAAACTGTCCCTTTGCATACTGTGATGTTAACTAGAGAGCTTCAAAAAAAGATCAACCCATGACCCAGATGCTGGCACGCACACGTTGGTAATGCTACTTGTGGTTATGTGGTATTTTAGCACTTCTGTTACATGAATGCACACACAGACCAGGAAGTGTGCAGCTAATGTAGGTTACCCAAAGAGCTTGCTGTTTAAAGTGTGTGTATTTGTGTGTTGCAGGTGGCTTTAACTTTGATTTAGGAGATGCTCTCGGCCCAGGTAATCAAAATCAAATCTGAAAGTCTCTCTGATATGCTTGTGATATGTGATTCTAATTATGGTCTGGTAGGTATGGAGTTTAATGGCTGATGCTTCCATATTTTCACTATTTAAAAGCATACGTAATTATTCTCCTATATCAGTTGCTAAATCCCTCCCCCAACACAAGAACAATGCTGTTAATTTCATTCAGTGTCGTCTGCCACCTGTGAGACTTTTCGTCTGGAACATGTAGCTTTTAGGTTTTAGCACAATATCACATATGTAGCCTTCAGCTGCGTATGTGATACGCTTTTACATAATTCTTGTTACTAAATAATTTAAATTTACACACCGTAATGCATTCGCTGTCTTTCTGTATTTATTTAATTATGAATGCTGATAATATCTTTGTACCCACAGAACCCACCCCCAAAACTGACAAACCAGCTGTTAAACCACCAAAGAGTGGAGGAGGTGAGTCTACAAATAATTCAGCTCATTTATTGTTTTTCTTTTTGTCCTTTCAATAAACTCAGATGTTAAAGGATGAGGATGGTGATATTTTGTGTTTTTCTTCTTGTCAACAAATCCCATGTGCGGAGCTGAAGCAACAATGAATGTATTTGTTTATTTGTGTGTTACAGGTGGCTTTGGACTGGATTTGGAGGATGCCGTCGGCCCAGGTAAAGCTGTTGTAATCATAGACACAGTCAGATTTGTGACCAAATAAAAGAAGGCTGAGTTGATAAGACAGCTGACAGTTTTTCTTTTGGTTCATTAGAACTTAAAAATTATACATTTTGCCATTAAAGTCCTCCGGTAACTCATTTTGCTACATGCAAAAACTGTGCTCTGGTGCCACACACCATAATGCATCTGCTTCCGTTCTGTATTGATTCATTATGAATGTTGATGATATCTTCGTACCCATAGACCCCAGCGCCAAACCTGAAAAACCACCTGTTAAACCACCAAAGAGTGGAGGAGGTGAGTCTACAAATATATCTATATATGGCTGGTGATATCTACATTTTTCTTCCTGTCAGCAAATCCCATGTGAAGAGCCAAACTGACAATGAATGTATTTTACTAATAAGTGTGTATGTGTGTGTTACAGGTGGCTTTGATTTTGACTTGGAGGATGCTCTCGGCCCAGGTAAAGATGTTGGAAAGTCTCTCTGATATGAATAGAATAGAATTTCGGTACCTGAGAGCACATTTGGATATTTTTTTTTACAACAGAAATAACACTTGTTATTACAGAGAGAGTAAAGTACCAAAAAAAGCGACCATAGGGTACTGCACAATTCTGGTACCAATTCAAAGGTGAACATTACCCAACCCTATGTTAACATTGTGAAACGGTTACAGTTAGGTTGGTTTAGGTCCCCAAAGTACTTGGTTAGGTTTAGGTAAAGATCACGATTCGAGTATGTTAGTTACAAAGAAAGGCGCATTGTTTAAATATGACGAATTTTGATGGTAAATCTGCAACCATTATCGTTATTTACTGCAATATCTTTTTAGATATTTCTTAGATATCTCATAACATGCAAACACACCATAATCTGTTTTCTTCCTCTATTTACACAACTAATAATGCCGATAATGTGTTTGCACCCACAGACCCCAACCCCAAACCTGACAAACCAGCTGTTAACCCACCAAAGAGTGGAGGAGGTGAGTCTACAAATATTTCAGCTCATATTGTATTTTTGACTTCTTAATATACATAGATGTTAAAGGACAAGGCTGGTGATGTTCTATACTTTTCTTGTCAACAAATCCCATGTGCAGCCAAACCAACAATGAATGTATCTACTGTATGTATCTAATGTATTTAGTATCGTGTGAATCAAAGCCTTTTATGCACTGAAGTGTAATATAATATATAATAATAATAATTAACGGTTTGTGAATTGTATGTGAGAGGAATGATGTTTTTTTTATACATTTTGCTCATTTCTCAAAGGTGGCGGAACTTTTGATGACTCAGACTTGTTTGACATTAATGACGGGAGCTACAAGCCTGATGGAGGCCGCTCAGGAGGAGGAGGAGGAGGAGGAAAGGAGGAGGAGGTAAGACATCAGTACCACCCGACACATTTCTATATTCTGATTTGAGTTTTAGAGCCCTGCTGCTCTGTTTATCCTTGTTTCACTTGTGGTGCCAGCTGCTTGATCAAATGTCACCTAAAGACATTAGCCTGTTCACATTGCAGGTCTTCACGGTTAAATAAACAGCACCCCTGCATCCTCAAATTACATCCCAGTGTACTGTTGATGTTTTTCAGCCCAACACAGTTCCCACCTGAGCTTGAATCTAATGCGATGCAAGAGAAGTTTGAGTACATTGATAACGTATTTACTCTTTTCTGTAAATTCACTTCTGAGAATATTTGAAGCAAGAAATCAAACGTATAGATTTTGAATACTGGCAGTTATACAAATATTGATGGCAAATCGAGAAAGTGCTCAAACTTTTTCAGCGTTGAGAAGCTCCTGAAGCACCAGTGGGGGTAGCTAACAAGCCAGCCTTGAGGGTCTTCCTCCCAGCTGGTTAGTCTGCTAACAGACCCCTCTTACCCCACAGTCTCATAGTTATTCTGTTTAGGTAAGCACTGCTTTTGGTAAACTTCATTAGAAAATTTAAATAGCAATTAGACAAATGCTGAGATAGGACCATTATCGTCGTCACAATGGTTAGAATTGACACCTTCTAAGTTGCGCCCATTTTTGGTCCAATAACAAGTCTTTAGCAAGCCAGGGTCAGAACCTTGGTCAACCTTCTACCAACCAAATACCAAACACAATTTTGAGGCTGGTTAAAAGATAGAAGCAACATATAAACAAACATACTTATAATATTAGCAAAATGCTAGCTAACTCACTAGTTAATTTACATCAATTGTTAGTTAGCTAGTTAGCTAAGATTTTGCTAACATTAGTTATGACTGTGACTATAGACTATACGTCGTTTTTATCTTTTAACCATCTTTAAAATGTGGTTGTTTTCTCAACAAAGATTAGTACTTAGCATATCTAAGTACAGGAAAGGAGAAAGTTGACCAAGGGTCTTACAGAGGCTGCCCAAAATGGAGTCGGAGTCCACAGTAACATGTTTTAATAATTATTTTTGACAAACAGAGAAATATATACTTTTTTCCCCCACCCCTGAACATTGGTTGTAGTTTTAACTGAGCGTTGGTATCTCCTCATGTAGCTTCCTTTCCTTTGTTGTGTCTTGTTGTCCTTCACAACCGCTGACTCAGCCACGCTAAGAATCTCAAAAGAATGGCACAACATGTATTTAATGTCATGGTAACGCTGACAAATTCTGATCTGACTGTTTATGTAGGCATCATGGAGGTCAAATGACTCTTTTTAACAGATAGAGAGTGGGAGGAGTCTCTGCGTGCTCAGGCCAGTTTCACACAGGGTGACGTGGTTCTATGGTATGTGCCTTGGCACTCAAACTGTCCCCACGTGCAGTTTTTTCCATAGAAATATCAGTGTCACATAACTTAATGTTATGTACTACACAATGAAGATAAAAGCCCGTTCTGTTTGAACTGTACCTGTGTGCATGCATGTACTGTACGCATTGTGGGGTTGAAATTAGAGCTGAACTGTGTATTATATGAGAGGACCATAACAATTATATATAGCACATTATTATCGTGTCACTTTTGGGGGGGGGGGGGATTTCATTTTTTCAAAATTTTACGTCAATCTCACAATTTTGTGTCTTTTTTTAACTGACCTCTGACTTTCAGAATAAAAGCGGTCGTAGATCGAGTAACCATTAGCCAATCAGAGAGTATAAATTAGACACTGTCCTACTTGATAGTTAATGCATCATTTATATGTGAGGCTGGGGGATGCTGTTACTCACTTGTTTTCAGTCTATACAGCAGATAGGATATTAAGTGGGTATTTTACCAGTTTGTACTGAGCTGGTATAACAAGCAAATACAGCATAACATTCAAAAATTTGCTTTAAAGAATGAAGAAGATGCATGTTTTGGGAGCCTTCCTTCAGCATTTCCTCCAAACTGTGTGCTCAGCATATCCCAGTTTATTATCCTTTCACTCAAACCGGGTCTGTGTGCTCAGATTTTCATGCCAGTGTTTTTTTTTTTAATGTAGGACCCCAAATGATGAGTTGTGGTTAACATCAGAAAAGTCAGTAAGGACTGTTGCAGGTTCCAGCTATGTTCTTCTTATGTTGAATAAATAAACACTGGTTTAATGCTCGTGTTTTGCATGGGCTGTCATGGTTTTTAATTGAAAAAGGGCTATTGTGGATTTTTTCAAAAATTCCAAAACGACAGGTCTCAGACGGTGGTTGTTTCCACTGTACATTTAAAGGAAAGACACGGACGCTGTCTGTTGTTTTGGAAGGTCTTTGTCTTTGTGTCTCTATACTGTTGTTTGGTCAGAGCATGGAAGTAATTAGTTGTTCTTTTACCAAAAGAAAGGAAAAGGAATAAAAACCCACAGCCTTTTGAGAGTAATGAGAGCCACATGGTTGGGTGTCAGATCTGATTCTGCATGATCGTATACATGAAGCAGCAACTTGTGTAACCTGTTATTAACTGCAGCGTACTGCGCACAGAGCCTCTCAGCTGGAATTTAACTCATATGGAATAAAAATCAACTTGTATAAGAGGAAGCATAGTGACGAGGTTGCTGTTTAGAGAACCAAGTAACACCCAGACTTTTAGTGCTGCCTCTCCGGAGTCTGCTGTTCAGTGGAAGAAAGTAATAAGGTTTCCTACTTGACTTTTCTTCTCTCTTTTTTCTTTTAAATTCAGGTCGTGCGGGGGACCCTGGCTCCGATCCTCAGGGTACGTTTTTATTCTCATAATTTTCTGTTCCACTGTATATAAAAATACAATATATCAGTTTGCCATTATCACATCAGAATGTTATCCAATAATATACTTGCAAAATGACAACATTCCCATCAACCTCAACCTAAGACGTTTATACCTGCTAAACTTCATGCTAGCATTAGCACTTAGGTCAAAGAAAAAGTGGTTCCTGGGCTACTTTCGTATCATCCAATGGTGGCTACTCGAGATTACCGATAAGTCACAGCACAACAACAAATGTTATACCACGTCACTAGTGGTTCAAACTATAAACCAGCACAAAAATAAATATATTATAAATATAAACCATCACGTTCCATACAAACACATTGCAAACAACGAAAAAAATTAACATTGTCATTGTGGAATGTAAAAAAAAAGTAGCTTTTTGCAAAATAGAAATTACACAGCCAGCACCAGGTTAAGGCACAATGGGGAAAGTGGCATTACAAACCAAAGCTGGCTCTGCCCAGAGCAAAGAGCAGCACTCTCTGCTCCGCTTAGGTTGCAGAATGTGGATAAGTATTGATCCAGTGCCTTTTTATTGGGCGTCAGCCTTGCGTTTACGCATGCACAGTCGAAAAAGATAGACTTGAATCTTCACCAGAAACTTCTCTAAATGCACAATAGGGCGCAGATTCTATAGATCCTCTGATAAGTTCCAATAGTAAGTTAATTGGAGTCTGAGGGTACTTTAACGCTGAGGATTTTGGCATGCTCATGTTGTCTATTTGAACTAATGTAAGCAGTATTTTCAAAATGACTTTTTTGTATTCAGCACAAGTTCAGCTACAATAATATCTGTTAATATAGAACAGTAAGTAGTATGTTATTCATGATTGAAGTTTTAGAATTGTGCTGGAATAGTTACGTTTACATGGTCACTGCCATAAAACCCTTTGCCAACAGGATGGGTCTAACAAAAAGATGCTATTGTTTGCTTTATGGGAAATGTAGCATCTGGTGTTTTTGCAGCTTGACCAAAACTAGCAACTAAATGTCAGGATATCAGGAGATTTTATGGCACTTTATGGAAGTGCAATAGTGAAGTGCTACAGTAACCTTTTAATCAAGTGTATGTGCAGTTCTCCAGACAGTCATTGGTACTCGATACGGATATTGATTAGCAGCACAAAATTGATCATCTTCTATATGTATGTATCTTTAAACATTTAAAAAATATCTGACCATGATGGACATTGTGGATTGATTTGCGTCTGTGTTCCTTACAGGTGGTGCTGATCAGCCTCAAGGTAAATCTAATCTTTATGTACTTCCTGTCTTTGTCTCCATGCTCCGTCAATGTCACTGTGGATGTCGCTATGTCTTCCCGCAGAACTGATCTGCCCTTGAGCTTTTGTTGGGAGTTTTCCTGTGTTGCGCCTTTGAGGAAGTTGTGTTCGCTGATTTATTTACTGGTTTGTTGCTGAAACAATGTCGGTGGTGTTTTCTACTTCCCGTCGTCGCATATTGTTTTGTCATTATTCTTGTGGCTTTGAAAGCAGCTCATTACCTTCTTGTCTTCATTGGTATCATTCTGACATTTGGAATTGTCAGCTGGATTTAAATGTTGATCAGGTTAGCTTCAGTCCACTAGACCGAACGGGTGTCTCTGAGGATTAATTGGCTTTAGTTTCGGACAGGTGTATTCTTCACATTGGTACCCCTGGTCTGGTATCTTTTGCTAAAACCCTGCTACGATTGTGTGTCGTTGCAGATCCAGACCTTCTGTGGGGCCAAATCCTGAAGATGCTAAATGCTAACATGCCAGAGGAATTCTATATGTGGATTTCCAACATAAAGCAAACCCTTACACCTCTGTTAGAGAGGGCCATGGACCTGCTGCAAGCTTTTCCATGAAGCGTCAGTCCATTTAGTTCTGATTAGCTCACAGGTCTGAGGTTGTATGCAGTGTGTTTACAAAGTGTGTTTCGTTCAATGACTGACTCGGTTTTGAAAGAAATATATTGTAAGGGTGTTCAGACAGGAATCTCGTTTCCTGGATGATCATTGGGATACATTTTTTGTGTTTTTTAAAGTTATTTCAAACGGTTTTGTTGCAGTGCAGCTCTAAACTCTGAGCACTCAGAATGCATTTCCTGTGCCCTCTGACCTCTCTGGACATTCACAGCCGCATGTCTGTGCTTGAGCTCCGTGTGATTGGTGTTAACTGTATCGAACCACCTATGGCAGTAATTGTTAGGGTTGAGTGAGTACTCAGCTGAAACGAGTATCCGATACAAAAGAGAAAAATGTGTCAATATCTGTACTGCAACTTTAAAGAAAAACTTTCTGTAAATAGTTCTCTTACTCTTGTGGTCAAAATATTGGTCTGAAGTTCAATTTTGTAAATATTTTTCTAATAAATACATACTTCTGATCAACCCATATTAATGTCAGGCCTAAATGGACAACTTCCAGTAGGTCAAGCCCACTTCTGGTTTAAGCACCTCCCACATCTGTCCATTCCGAGTACGGATAAGAATATAGATCATTTTGTTGGTTGAACAGATACAGAGACAGACAGAGAGTGTACTCGCTCATCCCTAGTAATTCCCTAGGAATTGGGGGATACACGTCATCATCATCAACCCCCTTAATGTTCCCTCCATGGCAGCCTTGGAACCACAGTTCTCAGAGTGCAGATGCTTGCATCACTGAACCACACAGACAGTTAAAACTAACTTTAACCCTGTAATTCCGGACTTAACAGACATACTGTGTTTGGGTGTGTACATACATTCCCTTTTCTTTCACTCTCCACCCAGCTCTTCTGTTCATGAAGTGCCATGACTCATTCGTATGTTGTTACAGCGTTAATGCTGCAGTGGAGTGAACTCATGTTACCTTTCTTTTAATGTGTGGACCACGCAGAATGCACCACACATTTCTGAGTGTATCAGGTACTTTTCTGAAATATAATTAATTTTGGCTCATGTTGGTTGCCTTGATACTTCATCGTTATCTAGTCTTTGATTTAGTGCTAAATAAGCTCATATGACAGGAAATGAAGTGTCTGATTTGATCAGTTAGTGAACAGAGCGCTCTGACTGAAGATCTGAGCCGTACTTTAAGACTCCAAAACAATTCTCCTTTAGTAACCTTGATTCATTTGCAGAAAATAGCATTGTCACTGCATGTGCATAAAGCAAAGTCTTTGTTGCTGAGTGTTTTTTGTTGTAATCACTTCATGTCAGGACCCGCCTGTGCACTCACAGTCAGTCCAAACACCTTGGATCCTCCACGGTCAGCAGCAGTCTGCACACATTGTTAACATAGCCAGCATTCACAGCACTCTGCAAGCTTTTATTTTGATTTTTGATCAGATGATGGTGTTTCCCTTTGGCACTTTTTATCCTATGACTAGTTCTTTGTGTACTCTTTGCTAAGTGGCGGGATATTTATTTTTGGGGGGTTCTTTGAAGTTAAGGCTTTTCTTTGGTTTGCCTCGTGTCTTTATGGAATTTGTAACATTGCTGCGATGATTGCAATGTAAGAAAGTCATGAGACATGTAATGCTTAATAAATAAAGGAAACCTGTGGAATTGTCAGTTAGTTGACAATGTGTTTGATTTATCATTAATGAGAGGATGGAGACCAAACCAACTCAGGGTAGGCCCCAGACCTTCAGGGGCCCCAGAGAGCCTCCCTGTTCAATTGACATGGTTTGTGGTAGTGAGCCATTTTACTCTTACCTTTTTTCACTCTGATTTTCTGCATATGGTGTTCTTTAGGAACAGTTTTCCTAAAATTAGTATTAATATATTGCCTTACTGACTGTATCACAGTATACTCGTGATACATAGTAGATATGGTACTACGTCTTATACTACAACTAACAATAAGATTGGTAATGTATAATCTGGTACAAGGTGCAGGTTGTTACAATGTGCAGCATCAAGCCAAATACTGCTCCACAGGTATCGTCGACATAACATGATTTATATCCAGAGAACAAAGACACTCTATCCTCTATCTATTCATACACAGATGTGTGTGGTGCATTGAAAACCTGTTCCACGTACAGACAGAAAACCCAAACAACTTCAGTTGGTCATAAAAACCTGGTCCAGAACACATAAAGAAAAAATTCTTTGTTAAAAAAGGGTTAATAAATGTGTGTGCGATCAGGATAGGATTCAGGCCCTCGGGGTAAATCCAGCACTGAATCATGACTGAAATAGAAGCAGGCACTTCAGGTGTCCTGCATGTGTGGGAAAGACGGCGCAGATGTTCAGCATTTTCCAGCAGTAAGTCATACTGTAGGCTGTTCCTCTGCTTCGTTTTCCTGTCTCTTGTGTCTTGGCGACGCCCTATTTTAATACACTGCACCATCACAAGACACACCTCTCCCTCATGACTCACTGTGGTTTTAAAGTCTTGCCAGTCAAAGGAAGAGTCAGGCTTATTTTTCATGCCGTGTGTGTGTGTGTGTGTGTATGTGTGTCTTTCTCCCTTTGTGTGTGTGCTGCCTCGGTGCCCCACCCTGCCTTGGAGCTTTTGTGTGTTCACTTTTAATCCAGCTTCTCTCTTTACTTCATTGTGTTGGTTTCACCGCTGACTGTATCTCCATGTTTGACAGTCACACTTTTAAGTATTTCTGTTGCTTATGTTGTTTTAATTTTTTTGTCTTACTTACATTTTAACTTCAGTTTTTCCTTACTGTAGGTTGGGGGAACTTTTTGCCAGTGCAAATAGATTCTGGCTGTCACTAAAGGTTATTTACCGCCACCTTGTGGAAAAATTTGGTTATGACAGTTCACAATTTAGGAACCATGGCCTTTATTTATCAACTATCAAATAATTACACTTGCTACAATGCTATTAAGATCACATTAAAAAATGTTTTAGAAAAAACATTTTTTAGGGTAGCAGCAACAGTATATGCCGATAAAGCTAGGAACCTGAAGATTCATTTGAGAAGCAGCTCAGCATTGTGTGTTAACTTTTTGTGGAACTAAACTACACAAATAGAATTAAATTACTGAAAATGTGCTGAAATTGAAACAAAAGGATTGCTTTTCCTTTTGTTTGCGTTTATCATGGAGGATGTTCTGCTGCTGGTAAAGGAGCTACATCAGAGGAATGGAAAGAACAAAATCAATTCTTACGGTTTGCACTGATGGCTGCAAACAAAACAAAACAAGTGATGTAGCATCCTACCAAATGTTTGTTTGTAGATAAAAAGCTCAGCTAACCCAAATAATGGGATAAAACTACCTTTCTGAATTATACATATTGCTTCAGAAAACATTTGCCCAAACTAATACTATTATAGGCCCAGAAAAGACTGATAGTTCTAGTTGAACATACACAAACTCTGGGCGCAGTCTGCTGTAACAATGTGTTTGTTTGTTGTCCTACAGAAGCTGGATCCGGACAGATTGCAGGGATTGTCAGCGCTGTTGGAGTCGCTCTGTTAGGAGCAGCATCCAGTTACTTTGCTTACCAGAAGAAGAAGCTCTGCTTTAAGCTGCAGGGGGGTCAGTGTGCTTTTAGAATGCCAATATATAGACATTAGTATAGTCGCATATAAAAGGAAGTATAATGCTGCTATCACAGGGGTCACACTGATGAAATGTTCTTTATTCAGGGGCAGATCCAGAGAGCGGTAAAGGCCACAGTGGTGCTCAGTCTGATCCTCAAGGTAGGTTTCTTTAATTTTCTTTAATTCTTTAATTGAAAAATCTATACTTACTGTAAAAAGAGTCTTACTGTTTGTCACTGGTGGGTGACGAACAATAAACAACATAAAGTATATTAAAGCTGCAGTAGGTAACGTTTATAAAAATAACTTTTTGTCATTATTGCTGACATGTTCTGACAGTAGTACATGAGAGATAATCTGTGTAAGAATCTCTGGCTCGCTCTAGAGCTCCTGATGGCATTTGCAAGAATCTACCGGGCCTAAACCGAAAAAAACCAAAACAATCAGAGCCAAGAAAGATATAAAGAACCCTGGGAATGAGTCCCCAGGGTCTGAAAGCATCTGTACTTGATGCCCTGGGAATGAAACTCAATAATCACCAATTTTTCTTACCTCTGAGTAGGAAGAACCCGATTTTTTCACAGATTATCTGTTGCATGTACTACTGCCAGGATATAGTGATAGTTTATAAAATTACCTACTGCAGCTTTTGTAAATCCTTCAGAACAGCTTGAAAATAATACAAAACATAGCTTCAGAATCTGCCATAGGTGTTAAACTGGGTTGAGATCTGGTGACATGCATTTACTCCCTGCAACTGGATTTGTTATGCTGCAACTAAGGGTCAAAAAAGGCTAGTGATGGAGGAGTTCTTATTATTAAGTGAAAGTAGCAATTCTACAATGTAACAATACTTCATGGACTTCTGATCTCCTTTATACTGTCCATAGGGTCTTAACCTGAATTAATTGGAATAGGTCAATAATCTGAATTTTAGGCCTTAAATTGCCTTAAATAGGATTTTGGCCTATTCAACGGGTAGTAACAGACATGGAACCGATTCAGATTTTCCTTGATATCCTTTCCCCCCAGCATTGACGTGAAATAAGTCGTAATTTGTCATTTGTCTACAGAAACCCTGTACACTGTTGGATACATAACAGTGCATCATATTTAAGCTCTTAATATGTTTTGTGTGTAAATTCTTAACTAACTACCGCTTTCAGATAGATATAGTGTAGAAAAAAGTACAATGTCTCACAGATGTATTGACGTAGCCGTATGAAGCATAATGAAAATAAAAGCTTGAAACTTGTTTACAAAGTATCCAAATCTGAACGTGAGTCTAGCCTGACATCAAGTGGTCAACAGCAGGAAGTGAACAGACTTTACTCGACAGGTTTGGCTTTGGGACTCTTTAACCCAGTCACTCTTTGCATAAATTCTTCTCTTCTTTCATATTTCAGTGTTCAGCAACCTGCTCAGGACGTCCTAGACACCCTCTGCACACGCACAAGACAAGTCAGTGGCCTTCTCTACAAAACTCCTCTTCGTTCAACCTTCAGTCGAAACTTTCTCCGTTTAATGTGTAAATACAACTTGATTTTCTGTTCACTAAACAAAACTCGATCCCCATCGACGGTGGGGCTGCTTTGATTACCTTGCTGAGGATTTCAGCAGATGGTGATTTTGCACAGAGCTTTGTGTTTTTGTTCTGTGTCTGTGTGCAACTACTGTACACATGAATGCATTGTTTTCTTTTCCTAATATGTCTTTTAAACCTTAACACTCTAGTAACTACAAAAAGGTGTGTTTAGCTTAACATAGGTGCTATGTGGGTAGGGTTCACGGCATCATGCAAGTCAAATCAGGTGTTTGTTACAGAAAAGATGTTCTGAATTAAAGCCTTCTTGATTGTGGCAGACCCCCCCTCCCCCAGCTGGCATTTAAGAAGGATCGAACAAAGCTTTTGTGTTTTTACCTGTTTGGATCAGAATGGATGTAGAGTATTTTCTTTAGCACCTTAAATCCTAAAGGGTTTGTTCACCCAAATCACAAAGAAAAGAACATGTATAGTATCTAGCCTTTGTTTTGTTCTTGTCTGTTTTTTCTCTTTGTTTGTTGTGAACTGACCCTTTAATGCACACCTCAGTATGGCTAAACCGTATATCGTGAATTCTCAAACTCAATCAGGTATTCAAATGTCGACAAGGGGCGTGGCCAGCTCTAACAGCTAATTAAGGCCGGTAAAAACATTAAGCAGAGGTGGAATCACCTGTATCTCCGTGGCTCACATATGAAACTCAGCATGATGTGCATTTCCACAGCACTAATTCCATCAGTTCACTGTTAAGCTACCGTCAGAGAATCTTGAGACTTCCTGCAGATGTTTTAGAGTAAAAGCCTACCAGGAACAAGAGATTGAGGCTTTGTCCCCCCAGCTGCTAGGAGGCTTTTAATGTGAAAGGTACGTCTATGGAAATATAGAATTTAATTTGCGGCAGGTTAACAGCAACTTTAAGAAAAAGTGTAAACTATTGGGTGAGAACATTGTTTTTATTGGAGAAGACAAACTCTATGAAATGTACAGTGTATTGAATTTACCAAGAAAACCTGTAAACACAGAGGTAGATTGATTACTTAAAAGGCATACTAGGTAGGATTTTCCAAGAGTAAAAGCAATGTATAGACCCATAAAAACATAATCCCTGTCAATCATCACCCACTGAAAGTGTGTATCTGCACAGACCCTGTAGCCCTCAGGGTCTGAGGTCGGAGTTCTATAAAAATGTAATGGCACATTGCAGTTTCTGACTCTCTCCTCTGCTCTCCAGCACTGGCACAGCACTGAAACGAAGTGTGGAGATAGACACTATGAATGTATAAAGAGATGCGGTCTGTGTGTCTGTTTGACCGAGGGAAGGGCTGAGCTACCGCAGACAGTGCAGCTTTGGCACAAAATCCAGTAATGCGCACCTTATGCAGGATTGTGCGGAGGTGTAACTGCTGTGAAACAATCAAAAAATAACTATTATTAATTATAAATAATAATTATTTCTCTTTTCTCTATTTCTGCTTTGTTCTCAGTCCCTCACTCCTATTCACTGTCTACATTGTTCTACCATCGCTGCTCTCAGTTAAATTGGGAAGGAGGGGCAAACTTTAAAACACCAACAGAAAGATCCTGCATAGTATGCCTTTGAACATGGTAAAATATACAAAGAAAAAATGGGAATTACAAATGAAGGCCTGCCTAAAATAAAAGTTGTACTTACTGTTATCCTTTTTACAGCATAATACAAATATGTTTCTAGTTGCATTGACATAATCATCACTTACTGGATCTAAATCCAGCAGAAGGAGCTTTCTAATATAAAATGCTGATTGTGATGCAGATAGAGGTTACACAAAGCAGAAACTGACTACATGTATACATCCACTAAGTGTACGCAATTTAGAGACGGGTCATTGTAAGTGAAATTGCTTATGGTCTTTTGTATCACATATAAAAATGTAATATACAGTATAAAAATCTGCTTTTTGTTTTGTCGTCATGTTGGAGACTGATCCTAAGTCTGTGCACTGCAAAATGAATTTTTGTCTGTAATGTGAGTTAAATCTTATTTTCTTAAAGCTGCACCAATCAATGCAGCAGATATTTTCTGTCAGGAGAGATCTAAGTACGAGAATAATAAATATCATCCTCACATTCATCAGGCGCGGATGCTGCTGTGTCGGCTGGCAACCCTGTCTCCTAGAAATTACGTTTAATAAAACATACCACAATTTCCCCAAAACAAAGCCATTATACAACCACATAGTATTGAAAGATTATGCAAAATGAGACATGCTGTGACCGTTTTACTGATACGTTAAGTATCAACATTTTTGTGTTAATTAACATTTCCTTATTATGTTCATCAAAAACATTCAGTTGGCGTTATGTTTCCCTCAAAATGTATTTGCTGTTGTGAATTAGTTCCATATAAACTTAATTTCTAGGAGACAGGGCTGCTGCTGGATGTGTACACAGGCAACTGTTTGCTAACATGTTAGCCATCCTTAGAAGGTGTTCCACCGCCCCCTATTAATAAAAAAAGAATAAATAAAGCTTTAAAACAAGTGAAACATGAAACAAGCAACATGATTTTTGTTGTATTTTTTCCACACCGACATTGTTTTGGCTCGTTTTAGGAAAATAAGGTTTTTAGGAATTAATCGTAGACAGAAATGACATGATGAGATGGAGATGTATTGTATTTTATCAATTGTATTATTCAGCTTGACGCTCTTTTCGCTCCAAGGCCATGCTGATGCACTTCTCTTGGTGGTGATCTCTTCCGATCACCACCAAGTTCTCTGAATTTTGTTATTCATGTCTGTTCGCCTGTGTGTCATCCGTTTGTTAGAATCACAAATGAGCACATAAAGTATCAGAAAAACTATTTTAGGTTAGAGAATTGTTGTTATGATGCTGAAATATGAAAATGAGTTGCAGCCTTGTGAGCTGTAAATACTTGAGAATGATGTGCATAGATGCCTGCTGACTTTTGCTTTAGGCTTGATGCTGCCGTGTGCTTTGAGCATTTCATTATAAGGAACAGTGATCTGGATTTGAAGTGTATTTTTTTTGATTTTTGTATTCAAATGTGTCTCAGTTTTACAAGCATAGACTTAATCCAGGTATATTACATCTAACGATTGGATCTGAGTGTCGATTTAAAGCGTGTACGTGTTTTCAATAAAGTGGTGTTGTACAGTTTACTTGCCTTTTGTCATTTTTTCATCAGCTGCATTATGATGACTCATTTCAGTTGAGGTTTAATGCCGAGTCAGATATATTGTTACTTTCATTACAATGCAAATGTTTCATTGCTTTAATGCCTGGGTCTTCCACGGGGGGTCCTCAGCGTTGCAAGGGGAAGTGCCAAAAGTATTGTTTGATAATACTTTGAAGGTTTTTATTTGCTGCTTTAATGTGTAACGAACCTGCCAAGAGACTGAGATGAAAATTTGCCTTTTGGTTGAATTTTGCACATTTACATCATGTTGACGTTAATAAGCATCTCATTCTTAGAGGAAATTAGAGTAAAAAAGTGGATTTTAAGGGGTTACAGAAGCACGGAATTGATGGAAAATGCCTCTGTGGAACGATACACTGACATGTGGAAAGTGACTGTAAAACATTGCGTCAGGAGAGGGCCAGGAGGGCAGCTTGTGAAGGCTGAGCCTGTTGCACAACTCTTGGCAAACCTCACTTTCTACTAGTTGAACGACCAAGTTCAACAAACAGATGAGCAGACACGTGGGGCCTCGGCTCCACTCTTTACTCTGATAAAGATAAAAACAGAATGGGATGTGACTTCATCGTGCAGCGTCAGATTACTAATTCGTCCTGTCAGTATTTAAGGTTCCCGTATCGGTTGGTGCAAAGATGCGACTGTCATCTGGGCCCTCGTGATCTCCTGGAAGCCTGTATGAGAGGCCTTCTGCGTCAAAATTACCATCACCTTTGTGGATAAGTAAAGTTACTGGATTTGCAGAAGGTTTAAGACATCAAGAATGTCAGGTAGGTGACTATGTCATATAAATTATATATATAAAATAAATTATATCAAATGATACTCTATATAATTATTATATTATTGAGGAGAAAAAGTGCTGTTTGCTAGCTGACCTTCTCCACACAGGTTAAGTGAGTTTATAGCTTCCCAAAATTGCCCAACAATTCCAGCTGAACCTCAGGAACAGAACTGTAATTCCCTATGGTTGTTGAATTATAAAGAACCTGCAGTAGTGACCCAGTTTGACTTGAAATCAGAATAGACTCTGCGCCCCACACTCCACACTCTGCTCAAACTGTGTGCCAATTGAAATTTAACACTACTCGCAGCCCAGAGACTGCTGCAGACAAAAGGTTACATGCCTCTGCATCTAACTGCAGGCCAACAAAATGAGACTCGGACACGCCTGTCACGACCACACACTTAATACTCCACATGAAACAGCTTTTACCCTCATGGTGAAACCGTAATGGAAATAAAAGCCTTTTGTGTGAAAATGTTATAAAGTCTTACAGTGGGAAGTCATTTTTCAAAGAGCATAATTGGCTTGGTGTGTGTAGTTCAAGACACTTTGGTTAACACATGAAGGTTTGGACAAATGTGGGCTTTTGAAGGCTACTTCCAAGAGCTTTCTTAGAGGAGTGGGAGTAAAATCAAATTCTGCATAACTGCATGAAAAATGACTTAAATGCATTAGGATTAAGTCATATATATATTATATATTGATAGAAATCAACCCATTTTTCAGTCTGGATCAGTGCATTAGTGTCACTTCTACATAATTAACATGCTTAACTTCACTAAAACAGTGTTGTTATGGTTGCTGTTGAAGCTCTCATACAATAAATAAACCTGTGGTTGCCAAACTGGGAGCGGGGCGGGTCCCTGTAGAGTAGTAAAAGTTCAATGGGCCGTTTGACTTGTGAAACACACCGCACTGCTGGAACAGAGCCATCGTTGATGGTTTAAGTTTGCCCATTTCCTTACGGTTTCCTATCAAAAGCGAGCTGTGCATAGGGCACTCTGAAATGTTATGTTTAAATATGCAAATGGGGAATATCTAATGCTAACTTTTGGTGAAATCTACAGACACAAATAGACAAAGTGTAGTAAAACACACATATATTTTAGGCGTTTTTCTTTCCGCTGTCTGAAAGAAGACAGCAAGTCCAAGTTATGGAAGCAAAATAGCCCAAAATCTCTAAACTGACCAGCGCATGAAAAAAAAAAAAGTCTCACCATAAGTGTTGCATGATTGAATGTATTTTATTGGAGAATTTAAAACAGCTTAAAACAGCTATTGATTTTTTTATGGCAAGGATACCTGCACGCACACACACACCACAGTAAGCTTTCCATAAAAATATGTCTGTGCCTTCAAATATCCATGTTTTGTAACAAATATTTGGGAAAATTTGGAAAAATGTCTGAAGATTTGGAAATAATTTATTGATTTCTAATGCCACCTTTAGATATTTCTATCCAATGATTTACTAATGTGCCACAATAATGGAACTGTTTTGAGTTCAAATATCATTTGGGGACTTTTCCGAGCAAATATTTATATTGTTTGTGATAAAATCAGCATATATTTCTGCTCCCCTTAAGGTCTCCATGCCGACCATTTGCCACCCATGAATATTTCTCTAGATCTGCCCCTGGCTTTGTTACATAATGAGGCCAATATTCTGATCTTGCAACAACAAAACTCAAACTCAATTCATATTAGGTAAATGTCATTATTATCATTATTATAATTATAAGTACAGAAATGTCATCATGATTCCTAATGTAATATTTATGTTTGCAAGTTTTTAAAGGTTTTGTTTTAGCAAGCATAGCAAAGCATATCACATTAGTTTCAAACAAATAAAATACCAAAGTGGTTTTACATGTAATTCTGCCTTTAACATGAATGTTCCTGCAAGAAGGAATGGAGAATAATATCATAAAAAGTGTTGCATTTTCTTGGTTTTAAAGTAAAGTGATGTCAATTGTCTGCACATACTACCAGGCTACAAAAATGTAGCAACAATTATGAAATAGCTTTATACTTAGCTGCTTTTGTTTGAGTGTTTTCCCAGTATCTGTGTACACAAGTGAAATAAAAAGATTTTTTAGTACTTCATTAACCCTGCTTGGGGAAATGCAATTTTTACACTCTGTTGTTGAGGCAGACAATGATATCAGTACAGTCATCAGTCTAATCCTGTCATTCAACCATTCTCTAGCTGGGGAGGCCTTCGTCACTCTGGCCACCACAGACTCATACTGCATGGGAGCTACAGTGGTGGCTCGAAGCTTACAGCATCATGGGACATCTCGCAGCATCGTTATCATGGTGACACCAAACATCTCAGAACAGTCTAGGTGAGTGATACTTTTCCTGTTCTTGAGCATGAGTGCTGTCTGTGTGTCTCTGAACTCCAGAATTAAATTGAGGTGGACTGGAAAAGCTGATATTAGCCCCTAACTTTATTAACCTTTATATCTCAGGCTCGCCCTTAAGAATGTGTTTGATGAGGTTGTTATCGTGGATCTGATGGACAGCGAGGACCGCATCAACTTGTCCTTGCTGGGACGTCCAGAGCTCGGCATCACCTTCACTAAGATCCACTGCTGGACTCTGACCCAGTACAGCAAATGTGTCTTTCTGGATGCTGACACACTTGTGAGTACACTGAACACGCAGGAACATATGCTGATTGCACTATGTAATAGATTGTCTCTGTGATTGTTTCACATGATTCTGAAGACATTCTGTAGATTTTTGTGAAAGTTGTAACAGTCCAGGGTTACAGGATTCATTCTCATTGTCCCCGGGTGGTGATACTACCACTGTGCAGTGGCGGAGCCAATTTCCAATTAAAATTTTCTCACGTTGGGGTGGCACAGAAATTGGCATCTTGTTCAGTTTTCTCCTCATGGCGCTTTGCAGAAGTTAGATTGTGATGTTTGCTTATGGCCAAAACTGGTAGTCATGTGCATGTACAGGCAATGGGAGAGAACATTCGATTATTATTATTATTATTATTATTATTTTTTTTCATCAAACAAATGTTAGCATCATTGGACACTCCCCACACATATTGGAGCTGTTAATGCTAAGGTGTAAATTGCTAATGCAAACCAAATATTTCATGTTAGTGTTCCTTCACATTAACAACATTCCACTGGCAAAACATTGGGAGGCTTTTATTGTGAACGACCTCAGCAGCTTGTTAGAAATGAGTACCAGGAATGTTTATTGAGCTATACATTTCAATGCAGTAGGAGAATAACAGTCTAAGAGGTTTCATGTCTCTAACAACCAAGAACAAACTAAGAGCCACAATAATACACATAAGCTGTCTTTACATATTTTAAACCACCAGCTTTGCTCACTCTTCAAAAGGAATAATTCCTTGAAACAAACACAGAGAGCTCCGTCTAATAAAGTGATACTACACCAAAGCAGATATTGCGCATATCCCGCTACAGCATATCAGCATGTCAAACTGTACATCACTATCTATTACTATCTATAGCTATCTATCAGCCAACATACCGTCTTTACTCTTTCAAGGGTCAGCCACAGGTGCCCTGAACTGTTGGCCAATGTCAAACAATGTCCATATCAAAATCGATGCCAACACAGATGTTAGGGGACATGTCTGGAACATGTCGCTGCTGTGGCTTCTTCCTCTGTTTAGCCACTGCAAACATGTTCTCATGTTAGCAGGAGAAGGCATGTTTGAAGAGTGAGCTCCGTAAACAGAGATGGACACGGAGTCTCAAGGTCATACCGCAACTGACGCACATGCAGCTACTTGTACACATGTACTGTATGTGTCTGTGGCTAGTCTGGCTGGAGCTGGAATAAATGCTGTCTGAGATCCAGAAGAGAAAAGGTTTTAATATTTAGATTCTTTTTTATATAATTTAATTATTTGGGATGAAAGAAACCCAAAGTTGTTGTTTCTACAAAATGTATTTTGTAGTGTACATCGTGTCCATATTTTCCACAAAAAATACTGCAACTTCTCCTTTTTGGCCACAAAAGGTCCTTTCCAACTATTTTGCGAATTGAGCATTTTTTGAGCAAGAAGGTTAAATATTTTCTGTTTCCAGCTTCTTAAATGTAATGAATTGCTGAATTTTCCTGTCATTTTTTATGGTAAACAAAGAGTCTTTGGTTTTTCGACTGTTGGCTGGACAAAGAAGCAATTTGAAGAGGTCACTTTGTATTTTGGAATGTCCCAGTCGTGATATACTGATAAATTGTTTCAAATGTCACATTTTCATCAGATGCCACTTCCAAAATGTTTTTTTATTACCATGGGTATCAGTGAAGAGATGACTGTATGTGTCAAAGAGTTTTAAAGGCTTTAATAACACTAAAATTAAATATGTATCAGAGAATATTCAAAATTTAAAATATTTAGTAGTTTTTAAAGCCATACAGCAGCGTTGTTTGGGACTGTCTTGTCCACTGTGATGCTGAAAAGTTTAGGGAAGCGGCTGTGTGGGGTGGGGTCTTTATCTTTTTTAAGTTACTGTAAGATTTATGCACAAGTAGGAGAAAGTGGGTCATTTTCTAGCAATTCATTAAACACAGTCAGAAAGTAGGGCAGAATCACTACAATCTTTAAAAAAAAAAGAATTCTGTTTTTAAAAAGTTTATTTAGACCCCATGGGACTTTATTACTCTGCAATGATTTTACAGTGATTTTCTTAAATTTGTTGGATATGTTTTGCAAAATCTAAATAATTCAAGCAGTAAAACATTTTACAAATGTCTTAAGGAAATTCAGATTTATAAGGGCAATGATGACTTGAAAGTTTTGAAGTCATCATATATTTAAAGGATAGAATGAGTGGCGTTTATCACCATGTTAATAATATTGGCTTGTGAGCACCTTAAAGTGCACCTCCAGTCAAATCTCAGTGTTTCTTCTTGCTCCTACAGTTGGATATTTGAGCTTCACTGTGCAGAATGATATGACATTTAAAGTTTGACACTAAATCTGATTTTAAGGGGCGGGGACTACGAGCATGATTTATGACATCACAAATAGTGATGTAAAAACCTGAAGCCACCAGTGCACATACACTGAGAATGGACTAGTGAAGTAGGAGACATCTTGTGTCTAACAGGAATTAGCATATTCATAAATTATGGGATTTTTAATGAGGTAGAAGGATGCCTTTTTAGGTAACTTAAGGTGGAAATTATACTTTTTTCATTGAAAAAACACATCAGACACCGATTTTTGTTCAAAGCAGACTATTTGTATATGTCTTACTCAAATGGCAACCTCAGAAGCTGGCGAATGAAGCCAACATGGAAGTAACATAAACTGTGGTTCCTCAAACATTCATTCAGCCCGGCTAACACACACAATGCATTTGGTAAATGGTAAATGGACCTGTACTTGTATAGCACCTTTCTAGTCTTCCGACCACTCAAAGCGCTTTTACATTACGTGCCACATTCACCCTTTCACACACATTCAGTCAATGATGGCAAAGTCCATCGAACAGAAACTAACATTCATACACATTCACACACTGATGCACGGCATCGGGAGCAATTTGGGGTTCAGTATCTTGCTCAAGGACACTTCGACATGTTGCGGGGGGAGCCGGGGATCGAACCGACAACCTTCCGATTAGTGAATGACCCGCTCTTACTCCGAGCCAGAGCCGCTAATTTTTGGATTAGCTGGGAGCCGTCAAGATGGCTATGGACAGAGCCGACCACACTGAGCTTCACAACAGCTCTTCAGAAACCTATGGGTGATGTCACGTAGGCCACATCCAATTTAATTCTTTTTTTTTTTTTAATAGTCGCTTGCAGTGTTTTGAGCTGCACAAACTAGATTTTTTAATGAAATGCAGTTTAGGTGCATTTCATTGGGGTGCAGGCAGAAATGTCAGAGACCAATCTGAAAACCTGAACAAAACTATCCAATCTATTTGCATGATACCACTAGAGGGAAGTTAGAAAACATGTTTTGTTTCTCTGTAAGTTGGGTGAACTGACCCTCTAAAATAAACTGTCAGTTTGTCTCTTGGCAGATGCAACCTAAAAATGTTAGTCTCTCAGACAAACCTATTTGACCTCTGATGGTTCCCTCTCAGGTTCTGTGTAACGTGGACGAGCTGTTTGAGAGAGATGAGCTGTCAGCGGCTCCCGACCCTGGCTGGCCTGACTGCTTCAACTCTGGCGTGTTTGTCTTTAGACCCTCCCTCCAAACCCACGCCAGCATCCTAGATCACGCCCTGCAGCATGGCAGCTTTGACGGTAATACATGACTACATGTCTAGGTTGAGACTAACAAGTAGAGAACGCTGTGTGCTCTGAACACTGACTGAATACATTCATACGAAATTAAAAGAAGAAAGCGAGGGATGTGTTTGTTCATTGCGTTTCTCTCTGTGGTAAAAGTGGTCCATTGTTCAGTACAGACATTTATCTTGGCAATGTATAACACATGAAAGAATACTAATATTACGGAATTATTAATTCATAGGCTCTCAATTGTGAAATTTTGCCTCTGTCAGTATGTGGTTTTTGCAGTAGACTGTACAAAAGATGATTCAGAATTCACTTGCCACTGGATGACTCCTTTTAGCAACAGCATCTCAGATCAAAACAACAGGATAGAAATTGTCATCAGTCTTTCTGCAGTCTTTGCAATTATCACCAACACAGTTTTTGTCAAAATAAATCCTTAATTAACAGATGTGAAAATATTCATGAAAAGAGTTACAATGGCTACAACAAGTAAGCTAAAGTTAATCCTTGGGGACAAATGAAGCATCCACTAAAAGTTCTTGTTTTTACCACTGACAGGCTCAGATTATCCTGATCCCTACAGAAACAGCCATATTATCGTCACTCCCCACCAGACTCCATAGATAAAAACTGTAATCTAATCTCGCATATCATTCTGACACCATCACTTCATTCAAAGTGGATAGAAACAAAATGATCGGTCTTTGTTAGCCTTTCCACTGTTCCAACAATAACCAACTCTGGTTTGGTCGAAAATAAATCCTTAGTTCACTAGCGTAGATGAGAAAAACAGCAGTTTCAGTCACTCAGCTGCACACGGAGCAGACCAGCTAACTAAACAAACCGTAGAGGCTGTGATAGCAACACATGCAGAAGGATATTGTTTTGGTATCACAGCCCACAAATGTACTGTTTTGGTTCAGTCTCAGCGCTCTCAGCAACCTTGTTTCCAGCAGCAGCAGCAGCAGGCAGCTGCTTCCAGTGAAAAAGCTCTAAAAAACCCACTACCTGCTAAACCAGAGTTAAAAGAAAGTGAAAACTGGACTTACATTCATCAGGTGGACACAAATACAAATACATGTTAATACACAGGAGTTTAAAGAAGACATATACTCTTAACCTCTTTTCAACTTTATATTAATCCATCAGTAGAAATTAGATGTATTCATATATTAATGGTAAGGTTTGCTTTCTTCAACCTGGACATTGTTATAATGTCGTTTTCCATCATTTATGACCATCATTATGTAGTGCAGCCGTCACTGACACACTTTGATTATTGAGAATCCAAATGTTTTAATGCAGGTTCTTATTGGACAGCTCCCCTAAGAAGAGAATAGAAGTTACTTATGCATGTTTCACTAATTTTTATTCTCATATCGGTTGCTATCAGGGGGGGACCAGGGCCTGCTGAACTCTTTCTTCAGTAGCTGGCCAGTGGAAGACATCAGTAAACACCTGCCATTTGTCTACAACCTCAGTGCCAGCTCCGTCTACAGCTACCTCCCTGCTTTCCAGCAGTAAGTGTGTGTGCACCGCCGCTAGCTCTGTCCCATTATACTTTACACACTTTGTGGATTAGAGTTAACCACATTTTCAGGCTCACATAGATTTTTCTTGCAGAATGTTTGCATTAGCCATGATTAAAGGTTGTTACTCTGTTTACTTCATCAGTAGATTAACAGATAATTTGGGCTTTTCTCTCAGTAACAATAACACTGTACTCACCTAAATACTTCACTTCAATTTGTTCTGCTTAAACTTGAGTTTATTTGCATCCACTTACATCTCTCTTTATTGAGTTTGTGTGTTATAGTGCTGTGTCTAAAATTTGCTGAATGTTTTGTTGAAACACACCTTGAGACGGATGCTTCTTTGACATATTTGTATGGAAACTAAATTGAATTAAGGTTGTGATTTGGAACAGTATGTGCTACGTTGTTAATGTTGTTTGTTTTCAATTATTATTACATGGAGGCAGCTGTGTGTATCGTACTGTATTGTTATGTATCGTAATGTATTGTATTGTCATGTATTATAACGTATCCTCACGTATATTAACATATCGCATTGTAACGTATCGTATCGTCCCGTATCGTATTGTAACATTTCGTATTGTAGCGTAAATTAGTTTGGAGAACAGTTGAAGTACGACAAAATTGACAACACTTTTACCATAAAAACAGTATCTGGGGCATATAAAGTCCTATAAAAAAGTGTGTACACACTGACACTTGGTTTGGAACCTTACCTTTGTTTGTGCCATCCTCTAGTAACTTAATTGATACACTGCAGTTGTGTCCCTGCAGATTCGGCCACAATGCAAAGATCGTCCATTTCTTAGGACCAGCGAAACCCTGGAGCTCCAGCAGCAAGGCGGACGACGGCAGCTCACACACCATGGAACACTTTGTATCTCTGTGGTGGAAGGAATACGTCAGTCACTCAAAATCCTCTCAACCAGGGGAACAGCTCAGCCAAGACCGGGAGAAACCAGAACAGGTACGAACATCTGTGTGATCTGAAATCTTTATCTGTCTGATTAGTTGGAGAGTCATATCTTGCCTGAAAGTGAACCACTTCAAAGAGTTGGTTCAGTGGCCAGACCCACTTTAATACAACCACGCTGTTAACATGCTACACCAGTCAGGGAATGAAAGTTTATGAATAAAATAAAAGGCCTCTGATTCAAGTACGGCACTTTGCTCAGTTTGGATTTATGTTTTATCTACGAGCTAATGTGACATGAATTAAAAAATGACTCACACAAGTTAAGAAAAGCTAAAACATCATGAATAATGACTAGTGTTGTTGCTAATTGTTTATATCTGTCAAAGCAATATTCTTGTGCACAACTTAGCTGCTACACAACTGGCATTGAGCTTAATATGAGACAAATCAGAGTATACTGTAGATGTAGAGTAATATGGGACCCATGAAACAACATTTCACCAATAGTTTCACAGTTAAAAATGTCTATAGGTATATGTTTGACTGGGGCTGTATATAATCTATATAAGGTTCAGATTTTAAATGCACTGTTCAGCAGTGCCACTTGCTGTGCAGGAAGTCAAGCATATGCCATGTTTGGTGGACGCTCTGCAGATTTTCACTCCAAACACTCGAGCGGCACATTTCACTGATGACTTCCCCCTCTTTAGTTGAAGGTTTGTTAATCAGTCACATAAGCTGCTGCAGAGTTTGGCTGTGACATAAACATGCGGACCGGCAGCCAAACGCGACACATGGCTGCCCAGCCCTGGCATCGGCTGTCATCCCAACACTCAACATCCTCCCTTGTTTTGCAGATCCAAGAACAGGAAGCCAAGATGCCATTTAGGAAAACCTTGGACAGCTCCAATTCACTGCTCACACATTTTTCACCTCCTTCTGAGAGGCCTCATTCACCGTCTGAACCAAAGACGGTAAACCGAGACATCAAAATATTTATCATCTCTTCTTTTGCGACTCTGTCAGATATTACGCTGTTATGGCCACACTCCTCCGCCCAAAGTTAGAATCTTTAAAGCTGCATCCATCGGTATTTATGTATTAACACTGCTGGATGCTGTATCTGCTGGATGTGTAAAGAAGCTGCTGATTACAGATTTTTGTGTTCTTCCCAAGTGACAGTAAAGGCCCTGCACACCCACGGTATGTCCACCCCAGGTCTGTGCATCCGGGACAGAAATGGGATGTTAGCCTAGCTTAGCACAAAAACTTGAAGCAGGGGGAAACTGCTAGCTCCATCAACAAAGAAGAAAAACCCATAAAAAAAACCCTTTAGACACAAAGTTCATTTAAAGTCACACATATTTGTTGAAGTTGTAGTCATTAGAGATATTTGCTAATCAATCCATTAGTTAGCTTAATGAATGGCCTTATTAGCATAGCAGCTTGTGTTTATGATATATCATTGTGATTATTATGGTGGCTTATTAGGCAGCTCGAGTGCCTCTTGTTAGTTCCAGTAGATGAGACTGTTAATTTATGAGTATTTCTGCTTGACTGCATTTGACTCCAGCAGAAAAAAGAACAACAGAGCCTATTATCTGCCACAGGCCTCAGAGCTTCTCATTGCATTTCTGTCATTTGTTTCATTCATTTTCAACTTGATGTATTGTGTTTATACAAGCTTGTAAGATTAGCCTGAACAGACACACGCCCACATACATCAGCAGTGTTTATCAAGCACTCCACAGTGAGAATGAAGCAGAACCAAGTCGTATTTCTGCTCTGCCACTGTATGATTTCACACTTTTAGCCTCACATCATGTGCTCACGTTAGCATATTTTGTAAAGCATTTGTGAGTGACATGACTGTGTCTGTAGAGTTCCCTCACAGATAACACACCGTTGGAGGAAGAGTCAAGATCATCTGAGAGCACAGAGATCCAGGACTCACTGTTTGGAGCAGAGGGCAGCGGGGGCAGCGGGGGCAGCGAGGGTGCCACGGACACGGAAACACATCCTGTATGTTAAACATCTGACTGCTATACCTACCTGATTACAATACTGGTCAAAATATAAGAGCCAGTGGTTTAAAGATACACTCTCCATGATTCCAGTTGCTCAATATTGAGATTTTGAAACTTGACTGTGAATTTGAAAGCTAAAGGTAACAGTACGGCAATGGAAAAATACCCTATTACAAATAAAATGGCCCCAATTCAGAGTGATTTGTTAACAATGATGCAGCATTTTAATGTCAAGGAGGATATTTTAATAGCTTTATATACTGGGTAGTTTAATTTATAACAATGTATATTTATGTATATTTTATACATTGAGTATATGTTTCACATATCAAATCATGATCTAAAAAATAACTGTCAGATAAACACATCTATATTTCTCATAGCATGAGGTGTGTTTTGAGGTGTGCCTTGCTCTTTTTACATGTTATTTTTATACACATAAACAGGCCTCAAATAAGTTCCTTCACTGACAGCACTGACAGATGTGATCGTTCATGCTGACTCTAACTCTCTTCTGTAGCTCCAACTCCACAGCTGTACTGTACCTTCGAAACATCAGCAGTGAGTTGGGAGGCACATTACCAGAGTTATCTTATTAATTACAAATCCAAGGGCCGCCTCTTTGTGGAGTTCTCTCTCCTGATTGGACAAAGTGGGAGCGGGATACCAGAAAATGTATTTTCTGTTTACTGCAGAAAGGAGGGACTGGGTGACACCTGTTACTGACTGAACACTATATCAGTGATGGCTTCTGGAATGTAGAGCTATTTACCACTTATTTTAACAATTAAACCTTTAATTTAAAATAATAATAATAATAATAATAAACACTTAAAGGTGCCTTATTTGAAACTCAACACAGATCAGAGATGATACTGGAATGTATGAGTTTATAATGAGACCCAGGTTAGTTGAAAGTCTTCATAAGATGAGCATGAAAGAATAATGACAATCTACCAATTCTGAAAATTTATATGCTCAACTGCACATTCTGAGAGCTTGAAACTAGAACCCAAAATTCCGCCTGAATAGAGAATCTGATGCTCCTTGTGATAAATTCCCTTTGAAGACTGATTTATTATTCTCCCACTTCATCATGGCAGACGGCAGCAGACACGGAAGCAGAGCGGCTGGAGCATCGCAGGCAGTGGGAGGTCGGGCAGATTGACTACCTGGGCAGAGATGCCTTCCAAAACATCCAGAGGATGCTGGACCGCTTCCTGGATTAACAAATCACACACAGGAGCAGCTCTATAACCCAAACTGACCTGTGTCCTTTTGAAGTGTCCTGTTTGGTAGAGTTTAGTCTGAACACAAGAGTGACTGCTTTTCTATGCTGTGATGTCAGGATTTGACTGATATGTGTTTTTTGTCTTTAAAGTCCCTATGTTTAGGATTTCTGACACCTAGTAGTAGCATCATGATGATACAGCTAAGAGTGAGGTATACCACTCCCAACCACACTGTGACTGACCTGGAGACGGAAACAAACACATACACTGAACTAACTTCACCGAGATTGTTTCATTTTTCTACAAACAAAAACCGAATCCTTTGAAAGATGATAAAATCTACACTTTAATATTTGATATTTTGTGCCACTGTCAATAAACAATTTTAACAACCCTAACCCTTAAACAATAATTTTGACATGAAACAGTAGGGTAAACATAATTACGGTTACATTCCATTTAGTGTAGCAGAGCCTTCTTAGTGAGCCAAAATGGAATGAAAACAAAACCAGACTATGTTTGACCTAAATGAAACAGAACCTTAATTAGTATCATTAGTAACGCCTGTGTTTACCCTACTATTTCAAATGGCTGCAGTGAAAAAGGTCTATTGAACTCTATATCCAGGTTTGACTTGGTAGTTTGAGTAGGTACATTCATCGTTGTTTTGGAAAAAAGAAAAGATAGAATATCACCCAACCTATCCTTCAAGTCTATATCGCAGAATCACTTAAACTCCAAGGAATGAAGCACCTTTATATGTAGTAGTGTTCAAACATACATATTTAATGTACTCCAGAGAAATACTTGTCTTTTCTTTACTTTGACTCCAGAATTTCTTACCATCCACTTATGTTGTTCACACTCTGATAGCACTCTATGTTACTCTATTAATACCAAACTGACAGTCGCTTCAGTTGATGCAATATCTTGATATTTTGATTAGCTGCTGCAACAGTAGCAAACAATCATCTTCAATCAAACAAAGAATCAATATTGCACAGAAACTTTCAGGTAACTGCACACAGGTAAATATAAACATTATGTCCTCTGCTTCCCACCCTCTGAGTCTCCATCTGCACCAAACCTACCATAGGTCTGTTTCAAGCAATGGCACATCAAGTCCTTGTTACATTGCTTGTTTTTAGCTCTACACTTTAGCTCAAATACACATTTAGGTGTTTATTTTACTACACTGAGTCTGTTTGCATCTGTAGATTTCACCAAAAGTTAGCATTACATAATGCCTCATTTGCATATTCAAACATAACATTTAAGATAACTTGTAATACAAAAAATAATTGTCAAAAAGTAATCAGCTGGGGAAGTTTCATTGATTTATTTTTAAAGCTGTTGACAGTATTTTCTGATTTATGGAGTGATAAAGATAGATATCTAAAATTCCCTCTGTAAAAACCTTTGACTCAAATATGTCAACAAAATGAATTAAGAATTTTTAACCTGGCTTTATCCAATGTTCAGATTTCTGGAAATGTATGGAAATGTATGCAAATTAACATATTTGAACTTAACATTTCCGAAAACTTGTAATATAAAAATGTATTGTCTTAATGGAAGTAATCAATTGAGGGAGTATCATGGTGATATCTATGAGTTAAATTAAGTTAATTTCTACCCTATTCACCTGTGGTGTCCTCCCATAAACTGTAATATTTGTGGTCTGTTTGTGCTCTGCAGTAATAAATACTGTAATACATGGAAGAAGAAGATGTTGAAACATTAGAGAGTCTTTTAGTCAGTGCCCAGCAGGTCAAAATTTCTCTATACAGGCCAGGTAATACAACTTAACAGAGAGTAAAGTTTCTAGTGATAAGCGAATAGAGGCTTTGCTTTCAATATTTGAACAGTTCTCGTAAGGAGTTTCTTCTGAAAAAACGCTCATAAACTCACCACAAATAACTCCAACAACTGTCTTCGAATATTGTCTCTTCATATTTTCATTATAATTAGTACCAAATTGCAGTTATTTCAACATTATTAAATATGCTATTTGATATACTACATTACAAAAAGGAAAATATTGACTTGAAGTTAATGATTCAAGGTCTTCAAATTGTGAATGCTCAACTAAACCTTCTGAAATGTATCCATGTTGACATTGAAGGATTAGACATTTCTCTTTCCTTTTTGTACCAATACCAATTTACTTGTGTCATCTGAGTCCACATAGAACCCCCCCCCCACAACACATACAGACACACAGACTCCTAACTTGTATGTAATTCTTCCACCAGGGGGCACTGTGGCTCTTCTATCAGAACTGTCTCCATCATGGCACCAAATCAGAGAAGCAGGAACACAGATTAATAGATGTCTGACTGCAGTCAACAGTATGCTGTGTGATCCGTATCCACTGGGCACATGGTGCATGTAATTTTCATAGTCATTCCTCCCATAATGTTGTGACACAGCGATGGAAGATAGTGTGCTGAATACAAAACGAGTGGCGGGAGGCGAGCTCGGGCCACGGGCTGTGCTGTCACTGAGAAGGGGCCTTATGATGATTGCTTTGAAAGGCAACCTGGCACATCGCTGCTCTCGGCTGAGCGGCTCCCGCTTGACTCCGATTCATCAAGATTAAAGTGCGAGCACAGATCTGGGATAAGTTGCTGTTTTCCCTTGACCGCCTCATTCATTAAGCCCTGAAAAGGAAAAAGGAATCAGAGATCAGTCCCCGCAGACGATGACATTCTTTGAATGACGCTGTTAGAAGCTGCTCTAAACCCAGGTTACCTAACAGGAACAGAGATATCTTTATTTGGGGCTCTATTGAGAGTCTGCAGGTTCAGTCCTAGCAAACAGACAACAGCTGAGCTGACTGTTAAGCTCTCCTCTCAGGTTGAATGAGCATAAATCAGTTCCTGTTAACGATTTGCTGGCAGACTGGAGTCTAATCCTGCATTCGCGTTGTGTGTGTGATTTAGCATAAATATGACCTGTCAACTGGGAGAAGTCGTTCATGTCAGCCTCCTGGTGGTAATTACAAGCAGAGATTGACAAAGTGTGTCAACACATGCTGCAAATGCTGATATTAATTAACCAGTGTGGTGGTCTGAGATAATCAAAGGCAAAATTACAAGTTCTATATAATGACAGTATTTAAACCAGTTAGGAATATTAAGCAAAGTCTGCTGCAGTTCATTTATGGTTCAGCAAATAAAAATTGTCGCTCCCAAGCAGCCTAGCCGATCCATATGGGATGAATTGGGCAACGTGGGCTTAAAACGGGCGAACAGCAAGAGCCTCAACCAGTGAGCCAATTATTAATAGCCTATAGGAAACTACACACAAAGGCTCTTTTCTTGCTAGCATTCTGCACAGTGAAGACCAAACATTCAACTGTAGGAACAAGAAAAACAAAGATTTCTGAGCAGAGGGGGCTTTAATGTTGGGGATGGCACATAAGAAATAGGTTACTGTATATAGTATGTTACATATGGATCCTGCTGGGTCCAGTGAGGTTTGTTCCATGACTATGACAGTCTCTGGAGGAAGAAATAATCTAAAAAAAGAAGAGTCAAAATCGAAGCAGTAGAGGCAGCGATTATCCTGACTTTTTGAGTCCCGCTCTCATTTCCCACAATTCAACTCAACAGCTTATTTCCTTCCTCGTAAACACCCACTCAAACCCCACACCCCAACTTTGTAACGCAGACCTTTTGTAATATAGTTTATAGTATATTGTTGCATGTTCAAGCCATCAGCATATATCAAGATGACGTAATGACATGACATCTCCCCAAAAGTGAAGCCAAAAGTTCAAGATCGCCCCCTTGTGGCGGGCTGCAGTATAAATGAAAAGCCTGTTGCTTCCATGTTAGCAGATGGGACATGGGCCAAATTAGTTATTTGTAGCGATAAAAACAGGGTTTCACGACATGATTGAGTTGGCCAGGCGTACGTGCAGGACTTTGATGCCACGGCGGCAACCCCAATCACTACTGACCTGGCTCCAAATGACATCACCAGCGCAAGATGGCAGCAGTCATATCCCGGACATTTTGGCTTCATTTTTGTACAGTGGGAGATGACGATGGTTCAAGCTGAGATAACCCTGAAATATTCATTTCTTCTCGTCCAGTCACAGGCTCAATAATATTCCTCATGACAAGTAAACTGATCTTGATTTGTGAAATTAGTGGAGTGGCTCTTTAACCAACACACTTTAACACTCCCTTATCGGCCCTTCAGTGGCTGACTGTGCAAGGCTACACTTCATCATTTCCTTCCTACCTGACAGTGGAACAGAAAATTAAATCATTTATAGGCTAAATGTAAGTAAACAAAACCAATTTATCTATTTCATCTATCTACAACTTTATTCTTGACTTTTCTGCACTTATTTTACCATCATTGATAATACTAAATTATTTGCCCTGCTTGAGGGCGAGTTTGATTTTCAATCCTCTGCTCTCAGACCATTGCTCTGCAACTTATGATGATGTACGGAGGTAAGAGTAACCAAGCGCTGAGGAGAAGTAAAAGAGGGCATACTAAATGATTATTGAGTTGCACCATGAGTCACAAAAAGCAAAGGAAAATGAGATTGTAAAGCCTTGTGCTTTTGCTATTAAGTGAAAAAAAGCATAGGCCTGCTGGTTGGCTGTTCTCCAAGGAATGACGTATTTTGGTGGCCTGGTTGTTTCAACAAAGAGCCAATGGAGAAATTGCAGAAAATAAGCCCTATGGCGAACAAAGGTTTATGATTCTTGCACGTTTTGTTTAGCAAGATAATCTTCACAAATGAACACTTTGATGATTTTTGAAGCGTTAGTCAGAAGCAAAAGGATTAAAAGTTAGTCTATAAACGAACAACACCACAGTCGCGTGACTTCAATGTTACCACCACGAAACTTCCAACTTGTAATAAAATTGTGTAACTAAAATATAAGTTTGAGTTTAAACACAATGTGGCTGTAAAGACATGCGGTGAGGTTCATGGCTGGTGAGGCACTGACTTCATCAGAATTACAAATATATGAACCCAACAGAGTAGATTATTCACCATTTGATCGGCAGCAGTGAACGGGTTATGTTTCATATCTCATATCAGCATTCTTTACACATACAAACTTTACAAAATTGCTAATTGTAACTACGGACTGTAAGATTGTTGCTAGCTCGATGTCACTTACTCTGCAGCTGCAGAGTAGCATAAGAATCTCTGGGCTCACAAGTGCCCCCTACCATGAGGCAAGTGAACTGCCTGCCTCACCTAGTGCCTCTTCACTGCCGTTGTAAGATCGCTGAGCACACGAAACAGGTTACACACACATATATTATACAGATCAGCGCTAAACTATGGAAAGTCAGGGGGGCATATATAGTAAAAGTGTTGGAAATGTTTGATTGGCGACATACAGAGAGACAGTAACACGCTCTTATTGCATGGCAGAGCACAGTTTGTGAGGGATTGTGCAATCCAAGGTGAGGCTCCGCTTGCTGCTGCTGCACCGTGCGTCTCTTCCCCGCATTTGAACGGGAAAAGCGAAAATTCAGCGATTTTTAATTTAAAAAAATCAAAATTGTTTAAGTTAAATAGAAGATTAGTTTATCGCTGAAACCATTTGATAAATATAACCATTTAATTTATTTGTTTATTATATATTTGATTTTTTCCATGATGACGGGTGAAGCTCTGCCTCCCCCTCCTCTCCTGACCGCATGTCACTGCTGTAAAGGCAGACTAGTGAGTAGATAAGTCATAGACAACCTCTGTAGTCTCAATTACCCACTCACTAGCTTCTAATCGCTTTCAACACGCAAGAGCTTAAAAAAGTCACAGCTGGAGTTGTTATAACATTGTATTTATATTTTATGTTGTAGAACAACATTTCTTAAGTTAACCACAGACCTTATTTCAGCCATCTAACCAAAAACCCATTCAAAGAACCCACTGACTTTGAGGAGAAGGAACCGGAGATGCCAAAATGCTAGCTCATTTCTGGGTGTTGTCATTTATTCCTGCAGCACTCCATAAAACAACAGATGTCTGAATACATTGTTGGCACATTGTTTCCTGTTTCTGGTTTCTAATTAGCAAGTATGCTAACTGACATTCTCACATCATTGAGAATCTAACATCATTGACCTGATAGTGTCACTGGAAGGAAAATCACCAAAGTTCATTCTCTAGAGACAACAAATGTGTAAAGAATTTACAATAATTGTTGGGATATTTCAGTCTTGACCAAAGTTCTGGACGGACCAACACACAGTGATCCATAAAAATATAAAAAAGGCCAGTTATACATATGACCACCTCTTGGCAATAAACTAATTACGCTAAAATCCTGTTTCTAGCCAGCCCTCCACATGGAAGTTGACCAATGTCAATTTCAGCAGCCAGAGCAAATCAAAGTCAGTAGAAAACAAAAATCTGCCTTTTGTTTGAATGAAATCTTCAGATACATAACTCACTGAGAGCCTTCAGCCTCGCTTACGTAACCAGCACTGACACCGCACTGACCCCACAAAGAATTTCACCATACTGACCCAGTCTATTTGTTTTGACAGTGTGGGACTGACACCCACATGTGCATCCAAGAATTTCCACAATGTCAACGCAAATCACGAAGAGGATGAAACCGGACACCGCGCTGGGTCAAATAACCAGGAGCTCTGAGCGCTGTTTGCTCTCGATTGGTGAAGCACCTGGGATCTATTCCCTTCACTTGTTTATTCTTTATTTTCAACAAAAGTGTTTT